TGACTGGTCACCCTGACACCCTCAGAGCTGAGGCACCTGCCAGGCACACAGTAAGGACTGGGGCTCAGCAGCTGATGAGAGAACAAGTCCCAGAAGCAAACTGCCTGGGTTTAAACCAAGCTCTGCCTCTTCCTGGCTGCAAGACCTTGAAATAATTACGTAACCTTTCCTAGCTGTAGTTTTCTAATCTGTCACATGAAGAAAGCATGTTGTGTGGATTACATGAGATATTAATATTTTCGTAAAGCCTTATCATGATGTCTGGTATACTGCAGGGGCTGGCTAAATCTTAACTTTCATTACTAATACATTACTACTGAGAAATGAAGCTCAAATGCAAGGAGCAGAAGGAAAGATAGATACTTTTTTAAGGAGGGTCTGACATCAGAGGGTACCATTCATCCACTGTGGCAGTTTTAAAGTACACCCACGGATTCCTTGACGTTACTCCCATTGAGAGATGGCTGTGTGCTACTTCAGAGCCGCCATGTTGCGAGGAAGCCCAAACTAGCCCACAGAGACCACAAGGAGAAGCCCTGAGTTGACAAAAAAAAGAGATGCAGGGCCATCACCCACCGCTCCAGCTCCAGCCACAAACATGCGCCAACTGTATGAGGGATCCCAAACCAGAAACCTTGAGCTAAGCCCTTTCCGAATCTCTGACTCACAGAAACCATGAGAGCTAATAAAATAATCGGTGCTGCTTAGACCATTAAGTGTGGGGTGATGTTAGGCAGCAGTGGAGAAGTGGAATATTCATTATAAGTACATGTGACACTCACAGAGAGTTAGCTCCCTGCGCCCTCACTGTCTCGTTTCATCCTCACAATCGCCCTGGGAAGAACCTATTATTATTCTCACTTTATAATGGTGAAATGGATGCCCCGAGGGTAACCGAATGATCCAAGGTCACATAACTGGTGAGTGGCAAAGCAAAGACGCCTGTTCAGGAATTCTGGCTCCAGTTCCAGTGGTTCTTTCCTGCTGTACCATAGCTGACTCTCAGAATAGACTCAAACCAGAAAGTCAAGAAAAACACTCATATCCAAACATGTGCACGAGTGAACATCGAAGAGGATCATTCTGTTCCAACCTCCAAGGCACACAGAAACCAGGCCTTCGCTGAAGCAGCACTGACCAGACAAAAGGAATAAGCAAAAATAAAACAGGCAATTACTTGAAAGCCACATAATCAGCAAATGGTTACGAAGGCGCAGGGACTGGCGAGGGACCGTTGTTTCTACCTCCAGGTATCTCAGCTGACAGCCTCCCCTCGGCGTCATTATGGAAGAGTTTTCAGAAATACCTGTCATACCCCAGAGAAGTTTCAGCGCAACCACAGATGGCGGCAGCATCCTTGGTTGCGTGGCACTGCACTCTGATGGGATGTCAAGATGAGCTTCTATAACCAAAAAGTGCCATGATAAAGGGAGCTTCCATTTTCACTCCGCTGACTAACATTTCTTGTTTGCCTCTACGGCTTTTTCTCTAAAATCCTTAAAGACACCAAGGGATGAGATAGAAGAAGTCTACTGCTCATGGGTATGAAGCCAGCACCGTACGGTAAATGTGCAGCCACAGTAGATCACTTTGAAATTAGATGGCAGCGGACCAAGACTTCCAAATGCATCTATGGAAGCTCAGAACAGACCAGGGGTTCGTCACAGAAGAATTCTACCAAAAATAACTTTTTAAGGGTCTAACAAGTAACATGATCAAGAAACACAGAGAAAGAGAATAAAAACAAATAAATAAAATCTAATTCTCAGGTGCAAGTCCAAACACTAGAAAGTAAGTTACTGTAAGAGCCAACAAGTTCAAGGTCTGAATTCCTATATTGCTATTTTATCTTTCAGAGAACACAGGGACAAAGAGAATTGCATCATTCATATGTGCTGTGCCTTAAAGCAATGGTTTCCAAATAGTCTGTCCTATCCCAGAATCACCTAGATAGGTTTTTTTTTTTTTTTTTTAAACAGCCATATTCTTGGGTCCTACTCCCAGAGATTGTCATTCAGCAGGTCTGGGGTGGGTCCCATGGATATGCATTTTTGATACATAATCCTAATGCACAACCAAGTTCAGGAACTACCCATGTGGCAGAGAATGTTTGCTGTGACTCTAAAATGTTACTGGAGAACATGGCTTCCTTGAATAAAATCTATCTTTTTCAGACTCCCCTCCAGCTAGGTGGCAGCCAAGTATAGCCCTGCAACTGAGTTTTGCCAATGGAATCTAAGAGGAACTGAGATGTGAAATTTCTAAGACGTGTTCTTAAAGGAAGGTACTACGCCCCGCCATAATGCTGCTTCTTTCCTGCCGGCTGGAATGTGGGTGACGTGGCTGAAGCTCTGATAGTCATACGGACCACGAGAAGACCTTGGAAATGTCAATCACGCAGGCTGGAGAGGAAGATAAAGGAATCCCACATCCCTGATGTTTATATTCCTACACAGATGGCCTCCCGACGTCTCAGACACAAAGAGAAGTAAGATGCAAATCTTGCTTAAACCACTGTTAGCTGGTATTTTTTGATTAACTTCCAGTGAAATCAAAGGCTCATACCATTAGCTACCTTAGAGTTTCCCTGAAGTTCTAATCGACATTGTCACCACGGAAAGAGTATGAGGCAGGCGATTTTAGTTGGTGATTTACAAATGAGGAAAATGAACACAGAAAAGTGACATTACTTGCTTAAAGCCGCGTAGCTATTAAACTAGGAACGGAGCCAGGATGCAGACTCACGACTCCCAGTTCAGAAGCCATGGTCTTTCGCCTACGCTATTTTGCGGGGGATTCGGGGCAGGAGCCCACTTTTGAAGTAAAATTCATCCCTACCAGAAAACTGAGCAGGGAGGGAAGCTGCTGGCTCATGAGGCTACGAGCAAGAAGAGGAAATCTCCCAGCAAACGCAACTCTTCTCTCCGTCTGTTATACTCTGCCCTTTTTCCCCTTTTCCTTTTCTATTTTTCACCTCCTTGATTCTTAGTTGGTTCTTCAGGTAGGCCTGAGTCATAGTAATGTAAATATTCTTGATAAAAAACACTTCCCGCACCCTGGGCCATCTCGCCTAGTTATGAGGGTGCCCATCCTAACTGATCCCCTCTGCACGACCACCATGGCCGTGACCTGCTAAAAGAGAACCCGCAAGAAATCAAACAAGCCTTCACTAAGGCAAGAACGGAAGTTCCCCAAATTAGGGACCTCCCCAGACTGGCCTAGACCGCGGGACTTTGTTAACATCACTGAGTGTCCATTTTCACAGACGTAAAATAGAGATATCAGGTAATACAAGCCACTGACTGTGGTTGTTAAAGATTAAAGGAGAGTGGGCATGGCATACAGTCGGGGCTGCATTTATCGTATCCTGACATTTGTATTTCATCATGTGCTTATTATCTCTTCCCCTACCTCCCTCTACAGGATATAAGAATCAGAAGAAAGGGAATTTTGTCTGTTTTTCTTCACTGCTGTTTCTCAACACATAGAACAGCATGAGACGTATAACACGGGCACAGTAAATGTCCGTGAAATGAATGGGTAAACAAATGAGGACGGTGAAGCAGAACCACTTTTCCCCAGCCAGGCTCTCTGGGCTTAGCTGAAACACCAACTCGCTACGTTCTGAATTCTTTCCTGCTAAGACGACACGTTTGTTTCATGTTTTTACTATTCACATGAGATAATCCTCCTTGGATATCCTCTATCCGTCTTTCCGCGCTTCTCCACCAATCCGTACCTCCACCAGGCTTGAGAAACCCCGAGAAACCCTGCCATCCTCAGGGGCTCTCCTGTCGGTTCACCTGGAGTCTCCTCCCTCACCACGGAGCTTCCAAAGGCCTTAGTCTCCATCATTGGGGGAGCCCACCATTCCTCAGTGACATGCTAGATAGTGTCACCAATATCACTAACAATCCCAATCACACGAACAGCGTATTACAGTTTGCAGTGTTCTCTCTTCGGGGAGTTTGAAGTCTGACATTCTTTATTCCAGGAAATGGAAAAAAGAAACAGCAGGTAATATCTGTATTTAACTAAAAATAATAAAAAATTACCCATAATTTTGAAAATGCACTATGTACCAGGCACTGCTCATGGGTTCCTATAGCCATCCCATTTATTATAATTCTTACAAATACTCCATGAAGCAGGTATTATTTTCTGAAGTTTACTGATGAGACATCTGAATTTCAGGGAGGTTGGGTAACTTGCTCGAGTGCTCACAGCAGAAAGCACCCACCCAGGCTGGGATACAAACCCAGGCTTGTCTGTGTCTCAAAGGCCTTGCTCTTCACAGACATGCTCTAATTTCCCGCCCACTGCAAGAACTGGAAGCAGTGGGAAATGAGCGTGAGAGTTTGTGTGCGTGTTCAGGGCACCATAAGCATGGATGCAGGAATGTGAGGGTGGCAGGGGCAATAGAGGAGAATTGGTAAGTGCTCCAAATTTCCAGAGTTGCTACAAAAGAAAGCCATACTCTAAAAGGGGCAGGGGGAATGATATTCAAAGCCAGGAAAGTTCCAAATACTGCTTCAAATAAGCAACAAGTCTCCGATTCAGAATTGCAGAAGCTATTCATATGGTCAAGTGACAATGAGGCCCAAGGGAAATGCCCAACAGGGCCACAACTCCAGGTATACCATTCACACTATAGTCCAAGTAACAGGGCCCCTTCAGGATGACAATAGGTGTAGGAACCCTAAGCCTGTCACAATGAACCACTAAGAAACAAGGGGTAGGTTCCATCAATTAGCTCCGCTTAATATCTCTGTGGATTAGGCGTTCTTATTCCCATTTTTCAGGTGGGAAAACCGAGGCTCAGAGAAGCTAAACGACTGCCATTCAGCAAAGGCAGGGAGGAAGCCAGATTCACACCCAGGCCGGAGTCAAGAAGCCCAGCTCTTTCCATGCCCCCAGCTATGCTTTCAGGAGACATGTGCAAGGGCTGGGAGGATCGGGACATTGGAGGGCGGCCTCCCTGGGCTGCAGGCGCCCTTTACCTCGCACTTCTCCACGACCGGCTGCTGCCCACACTCAGAGCTGTTGCCTGCCACGATGCCAGCCCGGAGGTTCTCGCTGTCCCCAGTTCCCTCCTCCATGGAGTAGGTCTTGGAGTGGTTGCCACGGCGATGGGCCGGGGCTCGGCCCTGGGCCAGGCTGAGCTGCCTGCGGAGGGCCCGGTTCTCCTCCTCCACCTCTCGCATGCGCAGCTCCAGGCTCTCGCGCTCCCGCTGGCTGGAGGCCGTGTACCTGGGGCTGTGCGCCTGGGACTCCAGCGGAGACAGAGACACCGGCTTTCCATCTGAGGGTGTGAAAGACCAGGGAAGAGTTAGCCGGAGTGAACTGTGCCCCCAGCCCCTCCACGCACCCCAGACACCCATTATTATAGAGCAAGGCTCCTTGCACAGTCCCATTTTTAAGGGAAAGCAGATGGAAAGTGAGTTACGAATCAATGCGTCCAGATTGAACTGGGAACAAAGTTGAGAACAGAATGACTTATATGGTGATAAAAACTAATATGCTTCTTAGAGAAGACAATCATAATAAAATTGCTCCTACTTAAACACACTGTCTTCCTCTCCCTGCTTGGCATGTTTCTAGGTAGACAAGATTCTTAACAATAAAGCATTACGAAAACGAAGGAGAGGAAGGAGAGAGAAAAAGGGAGGGGGGAAGAAGTACACAGGAGTGGAGGAGAGCAAAAGAAAAAGAGAAGGAATAAAAAGAAAGTAAACAATAATAACTAAGTTTATTGAGCTCTTCCTGTGTGAACTCCTACACATCCTTCAAAACCCTGTTTTGAAAGCATCACCTTGCAGGGGAAACCTTCCTCTATTTGCCAGCAACATATCCTTCAGCATATTACAACAGTAATTTGTACATAGTGCTGTGAAAACACGTATATGTCATAGTGTATTTAGTAAATTGTTTTACTAAATGTTTTCTATGAAGATTGGGAGTTCAATGAGGGCAAAAGGTGGGTTACTTGTCTTTGTGGTAACAAATCACAATATCTGATAAATGGTGGAAGGGTGGATACATGTATTAATGCCAACAATAAATAATGAAGACCAACAAGGAAGAAGAAAGTAGGAGTTTTTTTTCTCAGGGTTTTCCCAAAAAAACTTTTCCCATTAAACTGAGAGCAAGCAACACTCCATGTAACGATCTCACAACCCTGCAGTAAACACTGAGGCGTGGAGAGGATAAGCGGGTCTCTCAAAGTCATATAACCAGAACGGTGGTGCCAGAATTTATGCCCACCCATTCTCTTAAGCCTGAGACTGTGCAATCTCGACTGAAATAAACTTCCATAATAGGCTATTCGGAGAGCCAATGATTTAAAAAAATTATTAATGTAAAAACCCCAACTCTCAAGGATAGTTAGCATATTGCCTTGTACACAGTCGGTGCTCAACGTATGCTTACTGCTGAAGAACCCCAGTGACACAAGACATACCCAAAACTGTCACTTCATTTTATTCCTGCTCTGCAGAAATCCTAGGTTCCAGCTACACTTGCAGCTGCCTCAGGGGCTACCAAGCAAAAAAATCACATCTCTAGAAAATCATCCTTTCTCAGCCGCCTGCCAAAAAAACAAAATCACTCCTCTTTTTTTCCATACATCGAGCTTTCCTCCTTCCTGCCCAAACCCCACTGAGCTTCCAAACTGTCCCAGAGAGTCTCTGTGACTCACAAAGAATGTGATGAATGACACCCTGCACATCTCACCTGTGCTCTCCCCGCTGTGTCGGTCTCTGCCCAGGGCTTTTTGATGTACCTTTGGGCCTTAACAAATATGACTCCTTTTTCCCCCTCTTAATCACCTCAGGGTTAAACACCTAAGCTCCTGGTCCTCTCCTATCAATGCAACGAATACGACCCACTGAATTCCACTGCTGGGGACCACAAATCAAACGCTGGGGCAGAGTCTGTCGGGGACGTAAAATCACAGGTTGATTAGGGTTGCATTGTCACCAAGCCGGCCAATTACAAACGCCAGCCCAAGCTTTTGAAACCCGTCTCCCTGTTGGTAAAACCAAATTAGTCCCACTGAGAATGAAAAAGAATAGGCAGCTAATAGCGATTGTGTTTTCTCAACTAACATCCACCCTTCAAGCAGGGCTGGGCGAAGACGAACATCAGCTTCCTTCAGGGGAGAGAGTTAGACTCTGCGCAGTGCCTCTCGTGGACGTGCATCATGCTAGGTCGCTCACGCTGATGACGCCTTACACTGTCAGCACAGCGCAAGAAGGTGCAACAGGTATCCCCGTTACAGATGCAGAAACTGAGACTCAAAGTTTAGGCCACATTCCGATTGTGTCGCAGCCTGACTGTGAACAAGGTCTCTGCAACTTCGAACTCAGCCATGCTCCTGTATTTATGTGTTCGGTTAGAGGGAAAGATGCTTTGGGGCTTGAGGGGCTCTTCTTTCTCAGGAAAAGATTTTGGAGCATTTAGGCAGGAAGCCAGGAAGCTGTGGAAACCCACCAGGGTCCCAGGGTCCCTAGAAAATTCACACCTAACAGGAACGATGAGTTTGTTCTTTGGAGGCGTTACGTCACTGCTCTGAGCTTCAGTTTTCTATTTTGTGAAATGGGAACACACAAGTTAACCTAGTGAAAGTGATGGGTGGTTTAAGTAAGATACCAAAATAACAGCACAGTGCCTCTTACTGGGAGGCACTTGGTGTACATGAGATGCTGTAACCCCTGCCCAATGGGGGCAGGTGATATCATGGGTAAGATGAGTTGATGTGTAATTTAAGGTGTGAAAAGCTATGAACTCTCTCAACACAGGGATGTTCTGTACGTAACGTGGGAGCAAACAGCCAACGAACCTTGGCTTCCTTTGATATAGACTTTGATATGTGGCATCTCTGACCTTTTCTCCTTTGGCCTTAGCCAGGTCAAGGTTAATCCCCAAGCAGGAGGCGCAGGCAGGCAGGTAGACTTCACCACGGGCCTGGCCAGGTCACCTAGCTCCTCTACTGAAAGCCCCACATATTCCACATTTATGTAAATTACATTTTTATATAAATTATAAGACATTATATCCTGATGGGAAATGCCGTCAACATCCTGTGCCCATCTCTGCCCTGCTTTAGAGCCCAAATGGTTTCTAACAAACTTAGCTCTCGTTGACTTGCAGGTGTTTTCCACTTCAAAAAACTCTACAGACCTGTCACCGATGAAGACACACAGAATAGCAAATGTCAGGCCTGGACGAGAGGAACCAGCATTGAGAAAGGCAACGTTTACGCTGTGCCCAGGGCCCAGCGTGGAGGAAGTGCTCAATAAATGGCAGAATGACAATTTCTCGTTTGTTTGCTTTAAAGGTACTTTGTCTTGAGCCAGCCCCTTCCTTTTCTCAGTTTCCCATTCTGGAAGCGGGGGCACTGCAGATGTGTTGAGAAGCCCCCTCGGCTCTAAGTCTCCACGGCCTGGTGGTCCAGATGGTCCCAGGTTGCTTGATCAGAAGTGAATACCAGCAGTCCTCGCTGCTTGGCCATGTTCGTGGCTCATTATTGTTTCAGTCACCTTCACTGTTGCTTTCGTTTCTGGACTATTCATTTCTCTGTCTCCTGACCTCTTGTTCAGGCTTCTTCCGACCCTCCAGGAGTAGAGGGTGGACAGAGAATGGCCAGCCCCCTTAGGTATGGTCTGTGCTCCCTGCTGCGCCTTATGGGCTACGGTCACCCCCAGGAACGCTGCTCAAGCTGTGTGCATAGGCCATCACCATAAGGCCCAACACGTTGGATTTTGTAGCCTATGTAGACAACTGTGTCCACACTGGGATTTCTCAAACTACTGTGGTGAAGAACCAGTTTTCCTCCCTTAATCCATCCTGGACAAGAAGTTGGCCCCATTGCACATGGGTAGTATAGAGCTCGCCCCACATGCAACTCATCACTTGGATTCAACAAATTGGTCTACACCCTGTTCATCAGGACAAGTCTACTAATCACACACTGTTGATGCCACAAAGTCCAAATGCTCTAGAAGTTTCTAAATGTCTACTCTCAAGTTCCACATAGATTTTGTTGTAGACCAGTAATGGTTTAGGGACTGTGATGGTTAATTTTATGTGTCAACTTGACTGGGCCATGGGGTATCCAGATTTATGCTCAAACGTTATTCTGGGTGTTTTTGTGAAGGTGATTTTGGATGAGACTAACATTTAAATTGGTAGCCTGAATAAAGCAGATATCCTTCCCCAATGTAGTTGGGCATCACCCAATCAGGTGAAGGCCTGAACAGAACAAAAAGGCTATCTGGCCCCTGAATGAGAGAAAATCCCTCCTCCCTGACTGCCTTTGAACTGGGACATCATCTTTTTCCTGCCTTCAGACTGGAACTGAATTGTCAGCTCTTCCTGGGTCTCAAGCCTGCTGGCATTTGGAATGAAACTACACCACTGGCTGGCTCTCCTGGTTCTTGGGCCTTCGGACTTAGACTGGAACTACATGTTCACTCTCCTGGGTACCCAGCTCACCCTGCAGATCTTGGGACCTGTCAGCCTCCATAACCATGAAAGCCAATTCCTTAAAATACACCTAGGTGTACACACAGACACGCATGCACACACCACTGGTTCTGTTTCTCTGGATAACCCTAATACAGGGATCTGGTCTGCAGGTCACACTTTGCGTGGCACTGTCCAGCACCCAATCTCTATCCCCAGGGCCTGGCACACTTCCAATATCTAATAAGCATTTGAAGGGAATGAAAAGAAGGACTTACATCTATATCTTAAAAAACAGGGGTGGGGGCATAAAAAATGTGTGGCACATCTTAAACTACCAGCTATTTAAAAAGAGACCTCATTTTAATATTAAATGCCAGGGGAGGATGCAGAGATAACCAAGAAAAGCAAACAGATAAGCAGAGTACTTAGAGCACGGGATTCTGCATAAGACAGAGATGAGTTGGAGTCATGTTTCTTCCACTTTGTAATAAACAACCTTCAGCAAAGTACTTAGCTTTTCTGTGACTCATTGTCTCCATATACAAAATGGGGACATGGGCATGGGGGTATGTGTGTATGTGTATGTGTATGTGTACATGTGCATGTATGCATGTGTGTATGCGTATGTGTACGTGTGTGTGGACACGTGTGTGTGTATACATATTACCTAGCATCAGGCCTAACCAGAATAAATACTCAAATTTTCCTTTTCTTCTCCTAGCCCCTACCTACTAGACCGGGAGGCGGGATATGTGTAGGCAACAGGGGATAGGACCCTTCCTTTATAAGCCCCTTTAACTTTGCTTCTCTACTACCTTTCCTTCCAGGTTTCTA